TGACATCTTTATTATTTTTTATAAACAAACATACCAGAGCATCAACATATTCGGTAACACCATCGGTCTTAACTTTTAACTTTAATTTTTCCAAGGGCACACAGTCAGAATTCTGTTAAAAAAATGAAAACGTGATACAATTTCGTAACAAGTCTCATTATTCTAACCTATTGAAAACTGCAATTATTGAGTGTAGAAATATTACTAATAATTAATGATAAAATTACTTCGAACGGTTCCATGATCTCGCGTGATACATTTTCCGTCATAAATACCACTAATCGTTGCCAAACAGCACTAATCACAATGAAATGAAAGTTAAACAATTGTAGTCCCACTGAAGCACGCGGCAAGTAAAGATTGTCCTTTCATTGACTAACCTATATTCAGGAAACAAAAGTTAAGAAACATTGTGAACCAACGAATTTTGTAGGGCACGCGTTATAGTTGTATTATAAAATTATATAGTCCTGTCAACAAATTCCTATGATTATTTGACAGCTTTCATACTTAAAACATAGACTTAAGATATGTAGTACAGATGTCACATGTTATGAAATTTTTTATCTACACCACGGAGGGTACCTTAAGACCTTCGTGCCTTTCTTGTGTCATATTCACGTCACTGTGATGTGTCAGATCTTGAGTCTATGTACGTAGGTTCTCCGAAGGTTATGTTGACGAAATTTCGGTAAACATTGTCAAATTTTCAAGTAGTAGTGTTGAGGCGTCTCCTACTTTTTAAATTTGATCATATCTTTCGCTATGTCTGCGAATACGAAATTTTTTGTCAGACCAAAAGTTAGGTTTTGCCAAATTGATGTCGATGAATCAAACACACAGGAATTGAAACATTCAGTTAATCAAAAGAATTTTGTCGATACAAATAAACCAAAAATTAGAAGTATTGTAACTCTAAATAAGCCTGTTATTTTAATAAAATCAAATAAATCTTGCTCCGATCAAGAAAACAAAGACTTAAAGTCCACTAATTCTATTCAAAGAACTGACTTATCATCAGAATCCAATAATGCAGTTTCTCCTTGCGCAAAAGAGACTTCTACTGTTGTGACTAATACCTGTTGTAATATTGAAACTCCATTACCATTGAACAATGTAAATAATACTCAGAATATCAATGTACACTCTGAAGAGGCTGATAAACTTAAAAGACCTGATAAATCTGTAATCGATTCTTTAGCAAGTTCTTCAGCATCTAGTGTACAAGAGAAAGCTTCTAATAAAGTGCCAAAGGCACAGAATTCGGTCAAGACTAATGTCATAAAGAGAGATAAGAAAGGAAAGGAGAATAATGCATCACTTCTTAAGAAGGGTACCAAGAATAATGTCAAGAAAAGTTTGGATTCGAAAATGACACAATGTAAAGTTAAACCTTGTTCAAATAGTATTAATAGTAAAAAAGTAAATATAGCTAAACCATCTGCTTCACTTGCATCAAAAAGATTAAAGTCAAAACCAACTGTCGATGTTATGCCATGTTATAAATATAATACTGTTGTATCAAAGATCAAAACTTCCCCAGTAAAGAAGACCATGGTACGCGATATAGTGGGTTCTAAAGTGAAACCTTACATTGGCCCAGGAGTACCACGTAAAAGGCAGGACATTCAGAAAGTTCCAGAGATCAAAGAAAAATCTCATATCAAACCGTGTACTTCTGGTGAAAAGTTGGCAAAACCAGAGTATAATTCTATTATGTGTACAATTAATAAATTGAATGAAATAAAGAAACAGAGAAATGTGGTTGATTTTGAGCATTTATCACCTGCTTATAAAAATCTCATAAATGGAAAGGTATTAAAAGAACATTTTTTCTATGTAGTATCAGGAAACATCTTCTTTCTTTTCAGATTTCTAGTGCCTTGGACTTCCCTCTTGATGAAGCTGTTTATAAAAATTTGGTGGACTTATCTATAGACGAGAAACAACTGCCTAGTAGACTGATACGTAGCAAAGATCCAGAACCAAGACAAAGAGACATTGTGCCAGTACTTTCTGACTTCTTTATACCAGAGTCCACTGAAGAATATTATACTCCTGTTTCTATTAAACCAAGGGCTGCGGAAACTGTAGACAGTTGGAGTGCTTTTAAAATAAGTGACAAAATATTTGAATGGAAACATAGCTTGGACCATGTATAATATAGTCATCCTTTTTTGTGTATAAGTTATTTATTAATTAGTATTTGGAAAACACTTACTTTGGTAGATGTATCTTTTCATAAAATGTGACTTATTTTTTATACTAATAATGATCAGATAAATTATTTTAATAAAATTCTATGAATATATATTGAAATTTAAATCATGATACGAAGCAATATATACAATAAATCATTTAATATACAAATAATATCTTATGTCTCATGCAAAATACTCACCGATCAACGCGAGTACATTCATTTTATACAAATCACGCGAAGCACCAAAAAATACAGTTATCATACGATGTGTGTGACGTGAAAAAATAATATAAAATTCGTATTATATTTAGTCGAAAAAATTGGGGCTGCATCTCTGATGGGTATCACACTAAACTAAGGTAGGATCTGAGGCTTTCACAACCCATCACTATGCAGTTCTCCCTGTCGAAGCCTTGGGATAAAAAACGTGTCCTTTTGGATGAAATATGCTCACGTATTAGAAATAGTGCAGATATCTTTATCAAGGTCTGAAGAAGTACCAATAATAATTTGAAGATTTATTAATTAATTGGTCATTTGAAAGGGCATGGTTTAAATACAAAAACTTGAACAGGAAGAACTGTATAAAACTAAAGTGGATCTATAGAATCAATTTACAGTTTGAGTAATAGTAATGTTCATCGTGTCTTTTCTTACAAGTCTCGACAATTATTGGTCTTTGTAGCAAAATCTCATTTACTTACTGATTCGTAAGACTGACTGT